ACTACTACTACTACTACTACTACTACTACTACTACTACTACTACTACTACTACTACTACTACGACTACTTATACTACTACTACTACTACTACTACTACTACTACTACTACTACTACTACTACTACTACTACTGCTACTGCTACTGCTACGACGACTACTGCTGCTGCTGTCGCCGCCGCTGCGCTGCTGCTCGGCCGCACTGCCAATCGCTAGCAGGCGCCACGTGTGCCATCCGCAGCGTGGAGCCTAGAACGACGCACGCGAGCTGGACCGCCAGGCCCCTGCACTCCTCAGGGGCGAACGGGAGGAAGGGTAGGAGAAGACGGAGAGGGATGAGGAGAGGGAGGAAGATGAGGACGAGGAGGAGAGGGAGAAGGAGGAGGAGGAGACCAGCGTATGACGTGAAGGAGGAGGAGGAGGAAGGCCTCCCAACTGCCCAGCTGCTCAAGGCTTGACCTCCCCAGCGCGGCTCCCATCAGCTTTCTCCTGGCAGCTGCCAGGCATTTTCGCACTCTGGATGTTGCACAGGTGGGGTAAAAGACGCCTTGACCAGCAGTCCAAGCCGATGGTTCCTGGTTCTTGTTGTCTTTCTTTTAAGTAACGGGGCCAGGACTACCAACCGTGGGCCAAGGTCGAGCGGGGACACCAAAAAGTCTCGCATGAAGCTCTGGCAAAAACCCTTCCGCGCACCGCAGGTGCAAGTGTTGTGGCGAGTGGGGGTGGGCAGAGCCAGGCGAAGGTGACTACGTTCCTCTACCCAAGCACTCCTATGCTCACGGACCGCCCCAACGACTTCGGGACTCTCACACTGACTCGCGGCACTCTTAAAATAGCAGGTTCGGTCCACGGAGCAGGTGGCCAAAAAAGGTGGTAGAATGGCGACTGCAGCGGCCTACAGGAAGCAGCTGGCGGAGCTCGAACGGGCACTCCGGCTGCCGCCCCCGGCCCAGCGATGGTGCTTGGCTGGCGGATGGTCGGAAGGGTCTGAGCCAGCACGCGCTCAAGCTCCACACGGCCCTGGACACCTGCACCAAAAGTGGTAAAAAGGTGTGGGTACGCACGGGACACATTGGCAGTGTGTCCAGGGCCGCCAGAATTGCTACGGACGGGAGAGCGGAAGGAGCAGGAGGTTGACGAGCAGGGGAGGCGAAGGAGGAGGGGGTTGGGGGAGGAAGTGTAGGGAGGGAATGGAGGGGGGGGTGCGAAGAGAAACTGGGCGGAGGTGGAAGGGCAGCAGGGGGGGAGGGAGGGGGGGAACATGGTAGAGGAGGAAAAGAAGAAACAGCAGGGGGAGCGAATAGGGTGATAAGGAAAAGAAGAGGAGGAGGAGGAGAAGGAGGAGGAGCAGGAGGAGGAGGAGAAGGAGGAGGAGGAGGAGCGGGAGGAGGAGGAGGGCACGAAGGCCAAAAAAGGGGCTCCAGGCCTAGGTGCGCTGCCGCGCAGCTCTCAGAGCACTGGTGCGACGATGTTGCGCAAGCGGCACAGCGAAATCAGACGCAGTGCGGCCCGCGGCGGCGCGGCACCACCCCTGGGGAAACCGCAAGGCACCGATACCGCTACTCCACGAACCTCTCCCGGGCTGCGCTCTGACCAGAATCTCAAGGCGAATACATGAGAAAAACAGTTATCGTGTTGGGATGGGGTTGGGAAGATACAGAGCAACGCGGTGCAAAAAGAATAAGCATGCGCGATTGAAGTGATCATCCAATCATTTTTCCCAACCTCATCCTCCCAACCCGATATCAGCCAGCGTTGACTCCAAATAGATGGATGGGCAAGAGAAAAGCGAGAGAAGGAGAAGACGAAGAGGACAGAACGGGAGGAGAGGAAACCAAGCATGAAATGACAAACAAAAAGAAGCGAGCAAAAAGAAGCGAGCAGCCATGCAAGTACGGGGAACGGGAGTGAATCACTGGTCGTCCTGGTATGAGAAGAGCGGGGTGGATCGCCGGTCGTCTTGGTAGGGAAGAGGGCGTGGATTGGCATTGCTTTGTATTGCAGAGCCTGGCTGCGCAAGGCTTGGCGAGTTGCTTGCATTGCTTGGCATTACGTGGCATTGCGTTGCCTTGTTTTGCATTGCATGGAGGTGCCTCTCATGCCTGAGCATTGCATGGCATTGCTTCGTATTGCATCGCATTACTTTGGCATTGGCATGCGCATTGGCATAGCCCTAGGCCTTGGCATTGGCATTGGCATAGGCATCCATAGGAACACATAGGAATCCTAGCTCAGGATCCAAATGACTCCATACGTATAGGCATTGGCATAGGTATTGGCATATAGGCATTGGCATAGGCATATGAATCCATACGACTCATAGGAATCCATAGGAATCCATAGGACTAGCCATTGAAAATTGCTGGGGGGAGGAGGGTGCCATTGGAAATAAGGGGGGGGGGCATTGGAAAAAGGGGGGGGGGAGGGGGGCTAAAGACCAATTACTTATGATGAGCTAGAACTCCTATAGGGCAAGCCTATTTGGAGAATAGATGTCCTTCTAAATCCAGCGGTAGCGACGAGGGTCTCCGAGGAGGCCCCAAAATGGGGCGAAAGCGAGGGAAGGGTGGCGGTATGCCATACCGCCACCCTTCCCTCGCGTATTCTAATTATTCCTGGCGCCGACCGCAAGGAATAATTGAAATGTGCGATTTGGCCCCCCAAAAAATCAGGCGCCCCTGGTTGGGGATTCCTGGGCGATGCCGGATCCCCAGCGGAGGCGCCGAACCTGATGCCAGCTCCCGCGCTGGGGGAACTGCCAAAGCCGGGCCGCGCGCCTCCCGCGGCCCTGCCACGGCAGGGGCACCCTGTCCTCATCGGAGCCCACCCCGCATTTGCGGAGCGGCAGCCCGGGCCCGAGGCGGACCAGCGGGCAGAGCGAGCCGGCGGAGACGCTGGAAGCGAGGGCGGAGGATCGGGAGCGGCCAAGAGGGGGGTGTCCAAGAGGGGGGGGGGGGGGGGGCAAATCATGACCGGCGGCATGTGCGCGGCCCAGCGGGGGGGCCAGGGACGTAATGAAACAAGAAGAGGCGCCATGAAATCTGGGGAAATATCCTGGCCCACGCCATGATATCCACCCCCCCTAGTCATCACCCCCCTCTTTGCCGCCCCCGAGAGGGACGGGCCCGACTCGTAACCCCAGGGGGGTCGGGGGGCCGCCTGCCCTCCCCGGTTGCCCGACGGGCGCCGCCGCCCCCGCGAGGGCCTCGCCGCACTGTAGAGGGACAGGCCCGACTCTTAACCCCAGGGGGTCGGGGTCGGCTATGAGGAGGAGGAGGAGGAGGAGGAGGAGGAGGAGGAGGAGGAGGAGGAGGAGGAGACGCCGCCGCCGGCGTTCGCGCTGAACCGCGAGATCGCCCTGGCTGGGCCCCGAGGGCGCGCAGAGGCGCCGGAGGCAACGTCGCCCTCGCAGAGGCGGGCAAGGGCCGAGCCTGCGCGTGGCGGCGCAGGTCCCGCGCGAGCACGCGCGGCGTCCCGGCAGCAAAAGGAAGAGTAGGAGGAGGAGGAGGAGGAGGAGGAGGAGGATAACTGTACAAACATACACTTCCAGGGGTACGCGCGGAAGCATGTCCCAGGCATCAGGGTGGCGAGGGTGGCGCGGAGACGACGCCAGCGGTCCTGGAGGTCGCAGGGCACAGCCTCGCCATCCACAACCAGCTATTTCTGAAACGAGTCGGCATGAAGCTCTGGTGGGACACAGCAGGACATACTACTGCTGTGCACTGATGCTGGAAGCGCACGCCCGATCCAAGCATATGACACTGACCTGTTAGAGTAGGTCGTTGTCAAAGCCTTATGGCCAGAAGACGCGACGCCCCTGCAGAAGCGACGCGCACACAGTACAAGTATGTCTGAGTCCGACCGATCTCGGGGGAGGCAAAAGGGTAGGATAGCAAAGGGCAGGGTAGACATTTCAGCTCACCTAGCTGCTTTTCCTGGCGCCTCCTGGCGCCAGGAGGCGCCCATGTATCGAGGAACGGGCCCGGCGGCGGGGCCGAAACAAGCTGCACGCAGCAGATTCCGTACCCCCCCCTTTCCCTATCCCCCCCCCCTTCGTTCGGTCCGACGATCTTGAAGGGGCCCTGGGACACGCAAATAAATACACACAAATAAAAAGATTCCCCATATTTTCTTATATTTTCTGGGTTTTTGTCTTCCCCCCCCCCACTTCCCATATTTTCCCATATTTTCTGGGGAATCGACGATTAATTGTGACTGTGTGTTTTTTTCCCTCCTCAAATCTTGGGCCATGGCCAGGTGCATCCCGCTCTGCGGCCGGGGCCTTATGCACAGAGCACGTCGCCACGGCGGCACCGGCGACACGATAGTTGCCCCATACCTGGCGAGCGGATCGCGCGTCGTTCCGCTCCGCGGGGCGGGAGGGTCGAAGAGCTCGGGGCTCTGTCGCTTGGAAGCGGGGGAATGGATAACCGTGCGCTCCTGATAGGAACCCCTTGGGGATCATAAAGTACGGGGTCCAGGGGGACAAGAGAAACGTTTCCCCGGAGGTCGCAGCAGAATGATGCAGATGGTGACGATGATGATGGTAGAGATCATCCTGGACGCCCCGTCGGAATCCTTGAGGAATCCTTCGGATCCCATCGGACATTCATGGGGTTCCATCATTAGGGAATCCTTAAGGCTCCTTAGGTTAGCGTGTCGCGGCAGCGTGGTGGGCCAGCCAGAACCCGTGGCGCGACACGCGATCCACACGGTCCCTAGCTGCACGCTTCGGGCGCTGCCCGCACTCCAGGACCCACCAAGAGCACTGGCAAGGGCAGGTGTCGCACGAGAGCCGCTGCGACTGAGTCCACCGTGAGGGCGCGCCGCGTTTGTGGAAAAAACATACAAACACACACACACACACACACACACACACACACACACACACACTTACACAATCACACACACGCACACACAAAAAAAAAATCCTGGGGGAAACAACATGTTTTGCTTGTTGTTCCCAACCATCCTGTGGTATTGGGTCCTCGTTTTGAAGAGACACCGCCGCGCGTTTCCTCCTCCCGCTGCCCCCCCTCCTTCCTCCTCATCATTGCTTCTGCTTTCCGCAAGTCTCTGTTTCGGCAAACCCCTCACACGCTTCGTGGCCCCATAGGAAGCTCCACCTAAGGTCCCAATGGCGGAACTCGCATGGCGGCCTCGCCCCATTTTGACACACCCCTCACACGTTTGAATTCGTGGTCCCATTGGGAGCTGCACTTAACGTCCCAGTGGCGGAACTCGCATGGCGGCCTCGCCCCATTTTGGCACACCACTCACACGCTTCGTGGCCTCATAGGGAGCTCCACCGAAGGTCCCACTGGCGGAACTCGCATGGTGGCCTCGCCCCATTTTGGCACACCCCTCACACGTCGCGTGGCCCCACAGGGAGCTCCACCTATGGTCCCAGTGGCGCAGCTCGCATGGCGGCCTCGCCCCATTTTGGCACACCCCTCACACGCTTCGTGGCACCATAGGAAGTTCAGCCTATGGTCCCAGTGGCGCAGCTCGCATGGCGGCCTCGCCCCATTTTGGCACACCCCTCACACGTTTCGTTGCCCCATAGGGAACTCCACCTAAGGTCCCAGTGGCGCAGCCGGCATGGCGGCCCCGCCCCATGCTGGCACACCCCTCACACGCTCCGTGGCCCCATGGCCGCTGGTGTTCATCGAACCTCGCACGTCGGAGCCGTTCACCTTCCGAACCTCCAACGTCACCCAAACGGGCTTCTCGCTCTTGCAAGGCAGGGCCATCACCACGGCGGCGTGCCAGGGCGCACCATGCGCGAAGGCGACGGGGCGAGGGAACAGCGCTCTGGGGCAGTTTACGGCCAGACCTGCTGGGCGCGAGCAGTCCGCAGCCAGACCTTCTCTTGGTCCCGTGGACTCTCGCCCTGAGCCGTCGGCTGTCCGGCGCGCTGCTCCCTCGGCCGACATCGCCCAGGCGTGATCCTGGACTGCGGCCGCCACGAGGTCGGGAACGGCAAGAAGGAGGACGACGACTGGTGGTTGGAGCTCTACGCGCTGCTCTCGCGCGCCACGCGCCACGAGGACCTCCTGCTCATGCGGGCGCCGCGCATCGAGTTTTTCCTGGCAGGGCCGCCGGAGGGCTTGCGGAAGCAGCTGGAGCAGTTTGCGGCGCGCGCGACGCGGTGCAGAAGGGAGGCGACGGCCCTCGCCAGGGAGCTGGGCTTCACCGAGTTGATCCGCGAGGCTTGACCTGAGGAGCGGCCCGCCCGAGCCCCGCCGTCTCTCGACGGTCTGACTGTTTGGCCTACCGCCGCGAGCGACACGCGCGCGTTGCTGGGGCCCTCTGGGGCGACCAGCGCGCGTCGCGGGAATTCCGCGCTGCGCTCTGCCCAGAGCCTCGCTCGCCCCCGTCGTCGCTCTGCCCAGCGGCCACGGCCCTGCCCTCTATCAGCCAGCCAGCTAGCTCTCTCTGCTCCGCGCAGCGGACGACCCGCGCGCGTCGCCGGGACCCCTTCGGGGCGACCAGCGTGCGCGCGGGGACTCCCGGACTTCGTGCGTCCAAGACATGCACGTATACTGATTTGCACGCAGACTCATTCACAATCAGATTCACTCGCGCTCAGGCTCGCCCGTTCTCAGTCTCTCGCGCTCAGACCGACCGTCTTTGCTCGTATTGTGGACCCCGCCACGCATTTCGGCACGCCCCCTCACACGGTTCGTGACCCCATAGGGAGCGCGACCGAGGATGATATTCACAATTGCGGTATTCACATATGGTTGGGTCTTCGCCAGGCTACTTGTTCCAGAGTGTGTGTGTGTGTGTTTTTGTCCACAGTGCGCTTTTGTTCCACAGTGTGTGTGTGTGTGTGTTGTGTGTGGTGTGTGCTGTGTGTGTTGTGTGTCTGTTGTGTGTGTTGTGCGTGGTGTGCATGGCGTGTGCTATGTGTGTTGTGTGCTATGTGTGTTGTGTGTGTTGTGTGTTGTGTGTGTTGTGTGTGTGTTGTGTGCGTTGTGTGTTGTGTGTTGTATGTTGTGTGTGTTGTGTGCTGTGTGATGTTGTGTTGTGTGGTGTGTGTGTGTGTGTTGTGTGTTGTGTGTTGTGCTTGTTGTGTGTTGTGTGTTTTGTGTGTTGTGCGCGTTGTGTGTGCTGTGTGTGTTGTGTGTTGTGTGTTGTGTGTTGTGTGTTGTGTGTTTTGTCTGCAGTGTGTGATGTGTGTGTGTGTTGTGTGTTGTGTGGTTTGTGTTTTGTGTTTGTGTTGTGTGTGTTGTGTGTTGTGTGTTGTGCGTTGTGTGTTGTGTGTTGTGTGTTGTGTGCGTTGTGTGTTGTGTGATGTGTGTTGTGTGTTGTGTGTTGTGTGTTGTGTGCTGTGTGTGTTGTGCTTGTTGTGTGTTGTGTTGTGTGTCTTGTGTGCGTTGTGTGTGTTGTGTGTTGTGTGTTGTGTGTTGTGTGCTGTGTGCTGTGTGGTGCGTGTTTTGTGTGTACTATGTGTTGTGTGTTGTGTGCTGTGTGTGTTGTGTTGTGTGTGTGCTGTGTGTGTTGTGTTGTGTGGTGTGTGTTATGTGTGTTGTGTTGTGTGGTGTGTTGTGTGTTGTGTTGTGTGTTGTGTTGTGTGCTGTGTGTTGTGTGTTGCGTGCTGTGTATGCTGTGTGTGTTTTGTGGTGTGTGTATTGTGTGGTGTGTGTCGTGTGTGCTGTGTGTGGTGTATGTTGTGTGTTGTGTGCTGTGTGTTGTGTGTTGTGTGTTGTGTGTTGGCTGTGTGTTGTGTGTGTCGTGGGTTGGTTGTGTGTTGTGTGTTGTGTTGTGTGTTGTGTGCTGTGGGTTGTGTGTGATGTGCGTTGTGCGTGTTGCTTGTGTGTGTTGGTTGTGTGTTGTGTGTGTTGTGTGTTGTGTTGCGTGTTGTGTTGTGTGTTGTGTATGTTGTGTGTTGTGTGTGTTGTGTGTGCTGTGTGTTTTGTGTGTTGTGTGTGGTGTGTGTGGTGTGTGTTGTGTGTTGTGTGTGTTGTGTGTTGTGTGTTGTGCGTGGTGCGAGTTGTGTGCTGTGTGTTGTCTGTGATGTGTGTGTCGGTTGTGCGTTGTGTGTTGTGTTGTGTGTTGTGTGTTGTGTGTTGTATGTGTTGTGTGTTGTGTGTTGTGTGTGTGTTGTGTGTGGTGTGCTGTGTGTGGTGTGCGTTGTGGGTGTGTCTGTGTGTCTGTGCGTGCGCGTGTGCGTGTACGTGGCGAGGGCGTGTGCGTGTGCGTGTGCGTGTGCGTGTGCGTGTGCATGCGTGCGTGTGTGTGTGTGCCTACCGTGAGGGCGGGCCGAGCGGCGGTCGCCGAGAGTCTGGTCTGGACCATGGCTCCCTGCCCCGCCCAGGAGGGAAAAGACCACACACCAGCAGGAACGAAGACAGTCCGAGAGAGGGAGCCTCCTCATCCTCCTCCTCCTCATCGTCCCCGGCTCCTCCTCCTCCCTCGCTCCTCCTCCCTCCCTCGCCCCTCCTCCTCCCCTCCTCCTTCCTCCTCCTGCAGGATCAGAAATGATTAAGAAGTCTTGGGCGAATCGCCCGGCCTGACCTACCGATACAGGAGGACCTATTTATAAGGAAAAAGGATGGAGGAGGAGGATGAGGAGGACGAGGAGGAGGATACGAGTGAGGAGGATCGTGGGGAGGAGGAGGAAGGGAAGAGAAGGAAGAGGAGGGTACGAGTGAGAAGGAGGAGGATTGGGAGAGGAAGGAAGCAAATCCTCCTTGCCGTCGAAGACCCGAAGTCGGACCTTGCCGTCCGGCCGGGCGTCGGCCTGCATCTGGGGCCCTCTCCCAGCCATCCACAGTCACTCCCATCCCTGCCTCCTCCCTCGCTCTCGCTTTCCCTCCCGCCCTCCATCGTTCCCTCCCTCCCTACTCATCCTCCAACTCCTCCTCCTCCTCCTCATCAGCAACAGCAACATCAGCATCAGTATCATCATCAGCAGCAGCAGCATCATAATCAGCAGCAGCATCATCATCAGCATCAGCATCATCATCACCATCAGCAGCATCATGTGCATCATAGTCATCATCAGCAGCATCATCATTAACATCATCATCATCACCATCATTATCAGCATCCGCATCATCAGCAGCATCATCCCTGTCGTCGTCATCATCATCAGCAGCATCATCCTTCCTTCCATCCTCAATCAGCTATCGCTCCCTTCTCTCTCCTCCTCCTCCTCCTCCTCCTCCTCCTCCTCCTCCTCCTCCTCCTCCTCATCCTCATCCTCAGTCCTCCTCCGCACTCCTTCTCCGCATCTTCATCACCACGATCCTCCTACTCATCCTAAGCACACCTACTTTGTGCTAAAGCCCCCTTCCCCTCACTGGGGAAGCTGGCAGCGACTGTGAGGGGTGCTTGATCGAGAAATGTGTGCAAGTGCTCTTGTGTTCGGCCACACTTGTGGTGCCCATCACAAAATGTGCAATCGCATTCGATTGTCATTGTTTATCACGCCTGTGCCTGGCAGATCCAGGGAAGGGACTGAGGAGGAAGAGGGAGAAGGAGAAGGAGGGGGGGAGGGAGAGGGAGAGAGAAGAGTGAAGGGAAGAAGGGGTAGGGGGAGGAACGTAGAGGGACCGGTGAAGGGAGGAAAAAAAGAAGAGGAACAGCGTAGGGGGCAGAGGAGAGGAAATCGTGGGGAGAGTTCGAACTGTTCGCATACCGTCTGGCGAAACCCCGACAGCCCAGTCTAAGCCACACGGGCGTACTGACAATCATTGTCGCACCCCTCTGTTGCCAGGGGCGCGAGCCCCTACTGGAAAGCGGGGGAAAGATAATAGCATCCAGAGTTCCCGCTTTCGCTGCAGCTGCGACACGCGCAGCGTCCCTGGTGCCAAGAATTCGCACCGCCGCACGGGTCCCACGCGTGCACACAACGCACAAAATGCACGTGTAACGAATGGTGGTGGACTTACAGACTGGCCCGTAACATTCGAGCTAGCCCTTACCCGCACCAAGGCCATCGCAATCGGGGCCGCCACCCGGCTCGTCCTTCAATCCGCTGCGCTGCGCCTGATCCGCTCTGGGAGGAAAATGGCGGCACAAGGCTGGCCCTGTCTGCTACTAGATTTCTGAGTGCCTTCGCTCATACACCAGGCCGACAGATGAGACATTCATCCGCCTAGATTGTCCAAGTTCGTCTCGAGTTCTGCACACAATCAAAGTGTGTCACCCAATTCGCAGCTTTCTGTCGTCCCCCACCCTCGACCACAGCTTCGCCTTCGCCATTCGCCATTCGCGCCCGCACTGACACCCACGTGAAATGCTCGAGCTTCGTAGTGAAAGCTCAGTGCCCTAGACTCCCCAGCACGCTGAAAGCCCACACATCTCGAATGGTTCGAAGGTCCGTGGCCAGTCGCAGAGCTCACTGGTCAAGCGTAGGTAGTGGAACAGATTCGATCGCCCAGACCCCTGCAAGCTGCTGCCCCGAAAGCCGATGCGCGCGAGCTCGTCTCGGAGGCCTTTGCCCGTCGAAATGTGCATTACGACTCTGCCTGGGTCGCACGCGCCCCGCCACCACCTCCTCCTCCTCCTCCTCCTCCTCCTCATCCTCCTCCTCCCCCTCCTCCTCCTCCTCCTCCTCCTCCTCCTCCTTCTCCTCCTCCTCCTCCTCCTCCGACTCCGACTCCTCCTCCTCCTCCTCCTCCAGGCAGGGAGGGCGGCGGAAGGGAGGGAGGAAGGGAGGGAGAGGGAGCCTGCGGTGGGTCGGCAGCTTCGCCGCCGTCGGCCTCCGCGAGCGCCGCGAGCCGTCTCGCGGCCTCCTGCGGAGGCTTCAGGGCGTCCAGCTTGAGACGCTTGTTTGCTCTGCCTGGGGTACCTTCAGCGCTATCCTGCTCGTCATCCTCCTCCTCCTCCTCCTCCTCCTCCTCCTCCTCCTCCGCCCTCCTCCTCCTCACCACCACCACCACCACCACCACCACCATCATCATCATCATCATCATCATCATCATCATCATCATCATCAGCATCAGCATCAGCATCAGCATCAGCATCATCATCAGCAGCGTCATCGTAGTCGTCATCATCAGCATCATCATCATCCCCATCTGTCCAGCTCCTCATCAACCTCATCTCTTCCTCCTCCGCACCATCATCATCAACAACAACAGCATCAGCATCAGCATCATCATCAGCAGCATCATCATCAGAATAATCAGCATCTTCATCGTCATCATCATCATCATCATTATCATCAGCAGCAGCAGCATCGTCAGTATCGTCGTCGCCGTCGTCGTCGCCGTCAGGAGCATCACTGGCAGCAGCAGCATCATAATCATAATCAGCATCAGCGTCATCATCAGAATCAGCATCAGCATCAGCATCAGCATCAGCATCAGCATCATCACCATCATCATCATCATCATCATCATCATCATCATCATCATAATCATCGTCATCACCATCGTCATCGTCACCGCCATCAGTTCTTTATGCAAATCATCATCAGCAGCAGCATCAGCATCAGCAGCACCAACATCCTCATCATCATCATCAGCATCATCATCATCATAATCATCACCATCATCACCATCACCATCATCATCGACATCATCAGCGTCGTGATCATCATCAACATCATCCTGAGCATCATCATCATCATCATCACCATCATCATCATCATAATCATCATCAGCATCATCATCGTCATCAAACTATTCAGCATCATTATCATCATCAAAATCAACATCGTCATCATCATCATCATCATCATCATCATCATCATCATCATCATCATCATCGTCATTAGCATCATCATCATCACCATCATCATCATCATCCTTCCCGTCTGTCCAGCTCCTGCTCCTCCTCCTCCTCATCCTGACCTCCTCATCCCCCTCCGCATCAGCATCATCATCATCAGCATCATCACCAGCATCGTCAATATCAGCATCATCATCATCATCATCATCATCATCATCATCATCATCCTAATCATCATCATCATCATCATCATCATCATCATCATCATCATCATCATCGTCGTCGTCGTCGTCGTCATCATCATCATCATCATCAACAGCATGATCAGCATCATCATCGTCATCATCGTCGTCGGCAGCAATAACGGCAGCAACATAAATTGCATCATCCCCACGGTTAGCAGCAGCGTTATCATCATCATAATCATCATCATCATCATCATCATCAGTATCATCATCATCGTCATTAGCGTCATCATTCTTATCATCATCACCATCATCGTCGTCATCACCATCGTAACATCAACATCAGCAGCATCAGCAGCATCATCATCATCACCAGCATCACCATTATCATCGACATCAAGATCATCATCATCATCATCAACATCACTATCCTGATCAGCATCATCGTCATCGTCATCATTATATTCAGCATCATCAACATCGTCATCATCAGCAGCATCATGGTCATCATCAGCATCATCATCGTCATCATCATCGTTATCATCGTCATCATCGTCATCATCATCAGCATCATCATCATCAGCAGCAGCACCATCATCATCATCATCATCATCATCATCATCATCATCATCACCACCACCATCATCATCATCATCATCATCATCATCATCATCATCGTCGTCGTCATCATCATCATCAGCAGCAGCAGCATCATCATCATCATCATCGTCATCGTCATCATCATCCGCATCCGTAGACATATTGGCGCAGGCTGGCTCAGGTCGGGGCCTGGGGGATGGCGCGGGGGCGCTGCCGCCGACGCGGGCACGCGGCGGGGCTCCACCACGGAGAGGCGGGAGGCGCGCCCCTGCGCGCGGGACGCTCGCAGGCGCGCCCTGCGCGTCAAGGCTCTGCACGCAGCCCCCCTGGCGGCCGAAGCAGCCTGTCGGGCGCTGGGACGCTCGCCGACTGGCAGGCGCTCCGCCGTGGCAGCGCGCGGCGCGGCGCCGGGCTGCCCGCGGATGCGCCTTCTGCGGCGGCGCGGCGGGAGACGCGGAAGCAGAGATCCGAGGCTCCGAGAACAGATGAGCGGCCGGTTTGGGGCTATGATCGGCCTCAGGGGCCCCCACCGGGCCCCATTACGATCAAACATCGGAGATCTTCTGACCTGGGTCGGACCAGGCGGGGACCAGTCAGGCCTTGCAGCATCCTGCAAGATCCTGCAAGATCCTGCACTCAAGCCCGGGCCAATGCGAAGGATCCTGCAAGATCCTGCAGGATCCTGCACCCAAGCCCGGGTCAATGCGACCCTGGCCGTGCAGGATCCTGCAAAATCCGGCACTCTGGCTGACCCCCGTCTGCATTGACCCCCGTCTCTTGAGCCCCGAAAAAACGACGCAGGATGAAAAGCTGGCCCGAGGGAAATGGTCCAGACCTTCGAGGGAGCGCCTGACGTCTGGGGACCGCGCCTGCAGGCAAAGCTGATGCAGACAGATCGCCTGCTGACGAAGGCCTTTGCCTGCAGCCACTTGCAGCCAGCTCACTGCAGCCATCCCTCTGCATTGAGTGAGTATTGTGGCATCATGGTTCTGACGCCCTGCATTCTGTGTTCCTCCCCGTGGCGGCGCGGCCGCGCGCGCGGATTCAGCGGGGGAGCGTCGCGCCCAGGGTTACACTTTGGGGGCGCCTTGCGAACAACGCTAAGCTGCATGTGCCTTGCTGACACCAGCGAGGAGGCGAGGGGGGAGGGGACGAGACGGACAAGAAAGACAAGGCACGGCTGCGGCAGCGCGAGAAGGCGAGGGAAGGGGAAGAGAAGGGCACGAAGGCCAAGGCATGGCCGGGGCAGCGCCACTCCCGACGTGCAGTACTCCGCAAAGTGGGACGCCGACGCCGCGCGCGCCGCCGGCGAGCTCGGCCCACGGCTCTTTAGCCTCGGAGAACTCCGCCAACGGCCCGCACGGCCCGCACGGCCAGCGCCGCGCAGCCCCCTCTCGCGCGGCAGACCGCCAGCTCCTCGCACGCTTCGGGGACGGCCACGAGGGGGGCGTCCAAGAGGGGGGGCGCCAATCGTGGCTGGCGGCACGTGCGCGGCGGGGTGCCAGGGGCGCAGGAAAACAAGAGGAGGCGCCATGAAATCTGGAGAGAGATCATGGTCCCCGCCATGATATCCCCCCCCCGCTAGCCATCACCCCCCTCTTTGCCGCCCTGGAGGCAGCCTGTTTGAGCTGGGCGCGCGCGGGCGGTCGTCGTCGTCGCCGTAGTTGGTTCGTCGTCGTCGCGCGCGCCTCTCTCCTCTGTCTCTCTTCTTTCCCTTTCCCTTCTCTTTCTCTGCTTTCTGTCGCTCCTCCCCTCTCTCTCGATGCTAAATAGCGGGCCCCGAACGCTGCCTCGCGGAGCTCGGCCAGCAGCTCCACGGCCCCGGCGGGCTCGGCCGGGCAACGCCGCAGCACGCGCAGGGGGGGGCCACTGGCGGAGCCGCGCGGCGCGCTCCGCCCCGGCGAGATCGTGCGGCTGCTTCCCCGGCCGCCACGAGGGCGGGCTCGAGCGACTGCTGCTGAGGCCCACCGCGCGGGAGTCACGGGCCCCCCCCCATGCTTCGTGGGGAGGGCTCTCTGGTCGTCCTCATCGCCATCGTCATCGTAAGCGTAGTGTTCCTCCTCCTCCTCCTCCTCCTCCTCCTCCTCCTCCTCCTCCTCATCCTCCTCCTCGACCTCCTCCTCGACCTCCACCTCCTCCGCCTAATCTCTCCTCTTTCCTCATCCTCTTTCCTCTTTCCTCGTTTCTCCTCCCCCTCCATCCCTTCCCCTTATACAGAACTCTTCCCTGTCGCACCCCGAGGCTGGTCGAACGGGTGGGCCGGGCGATTCGCCTTTGGCTCCCTCACTATGTATGGTCCTGAATCTGAAAAATCGCAGGAATCTCACGGGTGGAGGGCGGCCCGCTTTCATCATGTGGCTCGCGCCTTCGCGCCGCGCACATTCGTCTTAAATTATCCCGGCAAAGCAACCTAACAGCGATGTGTAGGAGCATATCTGGAAGCATTCCCCTTAAGATTCAGATGAGAATCCAGTTGTAGAATTCTGCTGTTCTCGCAGTCGTAGTCGCATTCGCGATGACAGTCGCAGTGGCCTGCATCAGCCTCAGCCTCAGCCTCAGCCTGCCTCAGCATCAGCCTCAGCCTCAGCCTCAGCCCTCAGCCTCAGCCTCAGCCTGCAGCCTCAGCCTGCTCAGCCTCAGCCTCAGCCTGCCTCAGCCTCCTGCCTCAGCCTCAGCCTCAGCCTCAGCCTCAGCCTGCCTCAGCCTCAGCCAGCCTCAGCCTCTGCCTCAGCCTCGGCCTCAGCCTCGGCCTGCCGCAGCCTCAGCCTGCATCAGCCTCAGCCTCAGCCTCAGCCTGCCTCAGCATCAGCCAGCCTCAGCCTCAGCCTCAGCCTGCCAGCCTCAGCCTCAGCCTGCTCAGCCTCTCTGCCTTCAGCCTCAGCCTCAGCCTCAGCCTGCCTCAGCCTCAGCCTGCATCAGCCTCAGCCTCAGCCTCAGCCTCAGCCTCAGCCTCTGCCTCAGCCTCGGCCTCAGCCTCAGCCTCAGCCTCAGCCTCAGCCTCAGCCTGCCAGCCTCAGCCTCAGCCTCAGCCTGCCTCAGCCTCAGCCTCAGCCTGCCAGCCTCAGCCTCAGCCTCAGCCTGCCTCAGCCAGCCTCAGCCTCAGCCTCAGCCTCAGCCTCAGCCTCAGCCTGCTTCAGCCTCAGCCTCAGTCTGCCTTCAGCCTCGGCCTCAGCCTCAGCCTGCCTCAGCCTCAGCCTCAGCCTCAGCCTCAGCCTCAGCCTGCCTCAGCATCAGCCTGCCTCAGCCTCAGCCTCAGCCTCAGCCTCAGCCTCAGCCTCAGCCTGCTTCAGCCTCAGCCTCAGTCTGCCTTCAGCCTCGGCCTCAGCCTCAGCCTGCCTCAGCCTCAGCCTGCATCAGCCTCAGCCTCAGCCTCAGCCTGCCTCAGCCTGCCTCAGCCTCAGCCTCAGCCTGCCTCAGCCTCAGCCTCAGCCTGCTTCAGCCTCAGCCTCAGTCTGCCTTCAGCCTCGGCCTCAGCCTCAGCCTGCCTCAGCCTCAGCCTGCCTCAGCCTCAGCATCAGCCTGCCTCAGCATTCAAAATGTGGCCCGGGAATGGAGTTCTGGGAACTCGAAGAACACGAAGTGGCCTACAGTTGGCTCCGGGCATTCAAAATCATGCCCAGGAATGGAGTTCTGGGAACTCGAAGACCACGAAATGGCCTACAGTTGGCTCCGGGCATTCAAAATCATGCCCAGGAATGGAGTTCTGGGAACTCGAAGACCACGAAGTGGCCTACAGTTGGCTCCGGGCATTCACAATGTGGCCCGGGAATGGAATGCTGGGAACTCGAAGACCACGAAATGGCTCACAGTTGGCTCCGGGCATTCAGAATGTGGCCCGCGAATGGAGTTCTGGGACCTCGAAGACCACGAAGTGTGTAACTGTTTGCTTAAAAAGACTTCCGCGGTTTCTCCCCGGATCCTGCCCGGACCCCCCTGGAGAGTCAAGATGTTCTCTTTTGACCCCATTAGAAACCTATCAGTCTTCGCTGTTAGGTAAAAATACAAGAGTTTCACGGATGGTAGGCGGCCGGTTTTCAGAATGTGCCTCTCGCCGTGGCGCCGCGCGCATTCGTTTCAAAAGTCTGCAAGAGCTTCACGGATGGAGGACGGCCCGTTTTCAAAAGGTGGCTCTCACCTTCGCGCCGCGAACATTCGTCTCAAATGTGCGCAAGAGTCTCACGAATGGAGGGCGGTTCCTTTTCAAAATGTGACTCTTGCCTTGGCGCTGCGCACATTCGTCGTAAGGGTTTACAAAAGTTTCAAAGGTTCTCATGGTTAACGTCCCAGACATGGTGCTTTGGCGCGATGTCAGAATCTCAGGGAGCAACAGTCACGCTGATTCGCGGTATTGAAGTTCCTGGAACGGTGTTCTGGCACGAGTCAGGATCGGCAAGACGGAACAGGAACGGTGATTCCCGGCGTTGATGTCCCAGGAATGGCGTTCTGGCGCAATTCTGGATGTTCAAACGGTTCTCTGCACTTCCCTCAGTGAACATGAGTATGTGTAGGGGCCTATGAAGAGGGAACTTGGAGGGAGGGTTGATTGCAACATCGTTGATGAGTCTTGGGCTTGCACTGGTCCTCCTCCTCCTCCTCCTCCTCCTCCTCCTCCTTCTCTTCTGCCTCCTCCCTCTCCTTTACCTCCTCCTTCTGCCCATCTGCCTCCTCATGCTCCTCCTCCTCCTCCTCCTGCTCCCCCTCCTCCTCCCTCCTCCTCCCTCCTCCTCCTCATCATCATCATCCTCCCCCTCCTCCTCCTCCTCCTCCTCCTCCTTCGCCTCCTCCTCCTCCTCTGCCTCCTCCTCTGCCTGCTCCTCCTCCTCCTCCTCCTCCTCATTCCCTACTGCCGCCTTTCCCTTGACGGGCGCAGAGCAGCTTACGATAAAAGCTCACACGGGCATCCACATGCGAGCCCGATCCATGCGGCTAAGAGCTGAGGAGAGAAAGAGAGAGAGGAAAACAAGAACGAACGAGCGAGAGAGAGAGAGAGAGACAGAGACCATAATAATCACTGGTACATCAGAAGATGAGCGACCCCGTGAGTAATCCGCTGCGAGGGGCGATGGGGGTCGAACTCCGTTGTCGTTTGGACCCGCAGAAAAAAATGCGCATGCGGTTGCAAGCCCAATCCGCCTAAGAAGGCTTGAAAGTTGGAATATGACGCCGTCCATGAGGCCAGCCCCACGGCGAGATTGCGTCTCGTGCTCTATGTCCGTGTCGCGGGCGCGACGAAAGGCGCGAGCTGCAGAGGATTTCGAGCTCGCCATGGCCATTGCCAAATTCCTTGGGTGGGCAGCAGGGCGCGTGTTCAAACATGCTATCCCGATGTCCTGGTGTTGTGGTGTCGTGGCGCCGTGATGTCGTCGTGGCTGACTGCTGGTGATGCAATGCGCAGAACGTCTGAATGACCTGGGCGCATGCACGAAGAAGACAAAACCTCCTCCCTCCTGCCGGTTGTCGGCGCAGGGGTCGCCAGCGTCGCTGTGTCGAAGTGCCATGATGCCGTGGCGTCGAAGACTGTATTGCGAGGACTACGATGACACAGCCCCTGAGGCGCGATATCGACGGAGTCCTTGACAAAAGGTTGCAGCATATTTGGCCAACAATAACGCCGCAACAGCGGGCTCCCCCGAAGTTCACAGGAAAGGGAAGAGAGGGGGAGCCACCATGACGAGAGTGCCTCTGACAACAAAAAATGCTTGCGTGCATCTCTGAGGGGCATACGCTCTTGCGCAGAAGCAAGGAGCTGCAAAAAAACCAACACCGAGCACCCGACGACCTGTCAGTCGAGCCGTTGGGCACCTCCCTCGAACAGAGCGGCTGCCACCGGAGCACTGGCCCCCCCAGCGTCACGGCCTTCGCGCGCCCAGTGGCACGAGACAACCGCTGGCAAGAGGACGATCAACCTGCGCACTCAGTGCTGAATAAGATGGCTCAAGACACTTCAGCCGCAGAATGAGACACGGCCCAGCTGCCGCCGCCACTCCTCCTCCTCCTCCTCCTCCTCCTCCTCCTCCTCCTCCTCCTCCTCCTCCTCCTCCTCCTCCTCCTCCTCCTCCTCCTCCCACTCTTCCTCCTCCTCCTCCTCCTCCTCCACCTTATCCTCCTCCTCATCCTCCTCTTCCTCCTCCACCTCCTCTTCCTCCTCCTCCTCCTGTTTCTCCTCCTCCTCCTCCTCCGCTTCGTCCTCCTCCTCCTCGTCCTCCTCCTCCTGTTCCTCCTCCTCCTCCTCCTCCTTCGCTTCCTCCTCCCCCTCCTAGCACCTTCGATCAGGGTCGGCAGCACCGGCCGTCAGGCCTCTCCAATAAGATGGCTCAAGACACTTCAGCCGCAAAATGAGACACGGCCCAGCTGCCGCCGCCACTCAGAACTAGGGTGGCGTCACATGTGTCGCAGCGAATGCAAGCTATGACTGCACTGAGAGCGCGAGGGCCCACTAGACAACGGAAAACTCGTATGCAATTGGCCGCGTAGTCGCTCTGGTCCGGAACCATGTACAACGGAGGCACTGTTCTTTCATCTACGTCATATGACTGGCAACATAATCAGGCAGCGCTGCCAAACTGCGGACGAATGTACTCTTCTACGGAACAGCGTCAACCACTCGGCTTAAAGAGCAACACATGCCGCGTCACCACCAGTTAGTTGACCAAGGACGCGCAGTTGGCATCGAAAGATGGAAGCTACTAGCTCATGTATAACAACGGCATGGCGGAAGTTCCCAGCCTGCTACTACCATCTCCATCTCCCCCTCTCCGAAAAGTCCGCGTCCTTGTCCTTGGGGCGGATGGCGGTTCGCTGCTGTGGCCCCTGCGCCTCAGCGCTGGGTGGAGAGTGGCAATGCAGAAGACAATTATGAAAAGGGCAGCGGCAGCAGTGGCAACGGCGGTGGCGGCGGAACAGTGGAGATGGGAATCGGCAACATGCTCTGAGGCGCAAAAGTGGGCGAGGCAGGGAGAAACCCAAACGAGAGTACAGAGCAAGAGGGCAGCTCCGACACTGGCAGTGAAAGCATCAAAGAGATCGACGGAAGCAGCGCTGAGACCTGGCGATAACCAAAGCCGGCGCGATTACAGCGATGATGACGTGCGGAATGAGCTCAAACCTGATGTCCATCGGCGTCACAATACATCAGAGAGTACCATGACCCTGACCAGCTTGACACGACCGTGATGACAGCACCAAAAGTAAGGACGAGCGACGAAGTGGTAGAACAAGAGGGCCAAGCAACCCTAGTGTGAAACCCACGGACTCACAACAATAACAAGAAGACGAACGACAGAGGTTTCCGTAATCACCCGCAATGGAAATCAAGTCCACGAGCTTAACCATATCATGGCAACTTCCACGAGTAAGGTCGACAGCATCTCGGCACGAAAGCTTGAAGCCAAAATGAAAGCATCGGCCTGAGCCCAATCCTCCCATCCAGCGTCGCCGTTGCAGTCGGCGTCGGCTGGCGAGCCGAGATGCTCAAAGACCTCGGCAGTCCCCTCAAGACGAGATGGTCACTGTCAAATTCGTACGCAGCTGCACATTTGTCGCCACACACACACAAGTAGAAAGCCACGGCAACCTGACGTACTCGTCTATACCTGCAAATACGTGGTATGAAGCCTGTACCTTGCTGAGTACCTATCCTATAAGTATTCGCACATAAACACACGCATACACACACATACACACACACACACACACATACACACACACACACACACACACACACACACACACGCACACACACACACACACACACACACACACACAAACACACAAACACACACACACACACACACACACACACACACACACACACACACAACACACACACACACTCTTTGACGGTGGCGGCCTCGCGCGCAGCGACGAGGCGGAGGAAGTCCCCACGCGAGAGAAGCGCGCGAGCGGCTGGCCCCCCAGAGAAACGCAGGGATCTTGTCGGATCGACCATGCCACGCGCATACCCAGGCATGGGCAGCGGGGGTGCAGGGAAAGAGCCCGAGGGCGACAAGAGGGTGGACAGCGTGGCCAAGGCCAGGACGAGATGCAGGCAAGGCGGGGCAGCGAAGGGCAGCAGAACGACCCAGGGCCGCCAGAGGCCAGGGGCAGGCCGTGCTGCGGATGGGGCACAGCGGGAGAGACGCCGAGGAGCCCAGCGCAAAGGGGCACAGCGAGAGCAGTCAAGGACGAGCCGAGGCCTCGGCAGAGAGAAGAGGTGGAGGCCAAGCAGGCGGCGGGAGAAAGAACGGCGTGAGGAGGCGACACTCAAGCAGCAGAGCGCGCCGAAAGAGAAGCGCTGCCAGGGTGACGAGGTCGCAACACCGCGCCCGGAACAGTAGAAGTGAAGGGGGACCACTGCCAGTTGCGGGCAGTCATCCCCTGCGCGCCAGGGAGGGCATCCTTCCACTAGGTGGGCGCGGGGTGACATCCAGGTGCCTCCCCCGTGCCAGGCCACAGGGGTGCAACGGACCCGAGACGAGGCGCGACCGCCAGCGCGCTACCAGCCCGAGCGGTGTGGCTGGGGGCGGCTGGGACGCGACAGGTCGCGGGACGGGCCTCGCTACTGTGAGCTGGGCTCCTCCACCGGCGCCGCGCGCGAGGCAGAGGATGCCCTGGAAGCGGGAACGCTGAGGTGAACGAGTTCTTATTCGGCGCTTCGACAATGGGCGGAAGGAAGAGAGGGGGAGGGCGGGGGTCTGGCTCCAGACCCCTGCTGAATGCGACTGTTTGCAGCAGTGCCGTCCTGTAGGGGAGAGTTACTCCAGGGGGGGGGGGGGAGGGGGGTGCGAGGGCCCGCGCCAATGAATAACAAAAAACGATCACGAGGAGGAAACTGCTGAGCTGCTCCGCCGTGTAGCGGTCTGGATCGAGGTGCGGCTCACCGCCCAAAACTTGGGCCATCGACTCGCATGGGCCCAGTCGCGCCAGGCGAGGGTGTTCTGGAGCGCGGCCAGGGCCGCTCCAGCTCGCGCGGTGCCCGTGCGGCTGACGAGGTCCAGCCGGGCGGCTTCCGCGGTTGGGGCCCTGGCGGCGGGAGGCGGCGCGGGCAGAGCTCCGGCGCGCTGCTCGGGTGGGGGTGCACCGCCGGCCGACGACGAGGCGTGTTCGGCCCTGGGGGCGCGCGACCGCCCCCTCGCGAGGCTGGCCTGCTTCGGGAAGGACCCACGCGGAGGAAGGCGCCGGCCCGCACTGGGAAGCGCCGGTGCCGGGGCACCCAAGGGCGGGTCCTCCTCTGGGCACGCCGCACGGCGAGGCGGCCGCCGGCCGATGGCCGGAGGGCCGAGCGCGCGGATCGTGTCAGAGCTCTTCCGGGCGCCCTTGTCGTGGGCGCTCGCGCGAGCGCGAGAGGCGACGCGCGCGGAGGGCGGCGACAGTTGGGGCAGCAGGGCCGAGGGCCTGCTAGTAGGCCTGCTCCGCGCTCGTCGGCAGGTGCACGCCTCTTCGGGCGACGAACCAGCGGACACGGAGCTCTGGCTGCCAAGACAAGCTCCCCTGTGGCGCGACGGGCCCCAATGGGAAGGTTGGTCTTGAGCGTGCGCTGAATTCATCTACGCAGTGTGTTTGACGCAGCGTTGCTTTACGTCGTGATTTGTTACCCCACTGTTGTTCACGCAGCGTCTTTTTTATCGCAGTGTTCTCGCAGCGCCTCAAACGCGGAGTTTTCAGTATGTTTTTTACACGCAGTGTTTGCACGCAATGATTCCAACGCAGTGTTTGAACGCAGTGTTTTAAACGCAGTGTCTTGTTTTGTTTATACAGTTGTCTAAACGCAATGTGTTACGCAGTGTTTTTTTTCTACGCAGTGTTCTGAACAGTGTTTTCACGCAGTGTTTGTTTACGTTGTGGTTTCTACGCGATGTGTTTCTTGTACACCTTGTGTTTGTTGTACGCCGTATGTTTGTGGTGTGTTGTTTGTTACGCAGTGTTGTTGACGCAGGGATTAGTTAACGCAATGTGTCGAAGGCAGTGTTGCATGTTTCCGCAATGTGCTGTTTACGCAATTGTGTTTAACGCTGTGCTTTTAACGCAGTGCGTTTTACGCAATATGTTTACGCAGTGTGGTTTTACGCAACGGGTTGTACGCAAGGTGTTCTGCTCGGTGCTTTTGTTACGCAGTGCCTTTGCACACCGTTGTTGTGAACGCAGCATTTTCGTTACGTCGCGCTTCTTACGAAAATGTTTTTTTGTTCGCAGCGCTTTCTATGCAAGGTGTTCTGCGTGGTGTTTTCCGCTCTGTGCTTGGGCAAGCGCGCCAGCCGATTCGCGCCTCGGGCGCCCCAGACCGCCGCTCGCTGGTGCAGCACTCCTGCCTCGCCGCCGACGTAACAATGTTTGAGCAGGCGCCCTTCAACCGTCACTCTTGGAGGCGCGCGCTAAAAAACTGCGCGCAGTCGGACTTGATTGGACAGGACGCGCGGGAGGACACAAGACCCTTCCAAGGGCCACATTGCCATAGTAACGTAGGAGGCATCGGTCGCGAGATACAGGACACAAGGGTGCTCTCGATTTGGGAGGGTCGACCTACTAATCAGGGCCGACTGTAGAAAACACTGCGTAGAAAACACTGCGCAGAGAACACTGCGCAGGTGGGTCCCGCGATTCGGGCCCCGCTTTCGGGTTCCGATCTCCTGGCTTCGAATTTCGAGTTGGGGGGGTCCGCGTTTCGGGCCGTCCTTCGGGTTTCGGGTGCCTGGCTTCGGATTTCCGGTGTTCGGGTTCCGCATTTCGGGCCGGCTTTCGGGTTTCGGTTTTCTGGCTTCGGATTTCCGGCTTTCGGGGTTCCGCGTTTCAGGCCGGCTTTTCGGTTCCGATTCTCTGGCTTCGGATTTCTGATGTTTGGGGTTCCGCGATTCGGGCTGGCTGTTGGGTTTCGCATTTCTTACTTCGGAGTTTCGATTTTCTTGGTTGCGCTTTCGGGCTGGCTTTCGGGTTCGATTGTCTGGGATTTTCTGGCTTCGGGCGTCGGTTTGCGGGTTTCGCGATCCGACTTTCAGTTTTGCAACGCCTGGTACAGCGCCCGGCACAGCGCCTAGCACAGCGCCTAGCACCGCGCCTAGTACAGCGCCTCATACAGCGCCTCATACTGCACCCAATACAGCGCGTAGTACAGCGCCTAATCGAGCGGCACACTACGTAGAAAACGCTCCGTAGAAAACACAACGTAAAGAATACTGCGAACAAAAAAACTGCGCAGGATTTCATCACGATGAAGATCTCCATTTCGCAATTCAGAAAGATCTTGCCCCAATGGGGGGTGGGAAAGCGGCGCGCTGCATTGAAAGGAAAGCGGTCTTAGCTTGGGCGGGCCGTGCAGTCTGATCCGCCCAGGCCACCCCCGCGCCGCCAGGGAGATCCAGCGCGGATCCGCGAAATCCAGCGCGGACCTCCGAGTTTTCATGTTTGCGTCATTCGTCGTTCCCTTACTTGCGCCCCACGCTGCTCAGCGCGTGCTGTCGCATCGGCCCCTGGTGTTGGGCCCCAGCCGGTGGACTGGTTCCAGCGGTGGTGGGGACGGGGGGCAGCGTCCGTGTACAGTCGGACATAGGCCAGGAGAACATCCCTCAGGATGAGATGCTCCGCCGGCCAAAACGCACAGAGCATCCCAGGGTGCCCTCCCCAGGATGTATACGAACATCCAACAGACACGATGAACAGTCGGGCAACGTCCCCGAATCGACCTCGATCCTACACCGCGGTCCGATTGTAGCCCTTGCCGGAACCGTGGCCGCTGCCCTTGGCCTGATCCCTCCGACGGCTCCTGGGGAACCCGAACGGACATTTCGAGCCCTCGGCCCCGAGGAGCCCCCAGGAGGCCCCCAAGAGGCCCCAAGAGGCACCCGGGCGGCCCGAAGAGGCCCCCTAAGAGGCCCCCTAGAGGCTCCGAAGAGACCCACAAACAGCTCCCAAGAGGCCACCAAGAGCGCTCCAAAGAGATCCAAAGAAGCATCCCTGAGAGCTCTGACCCACAATCCAGGCACGGTGATGAGATGGGCCATCGGGCCGAAGGCCATTGGAGATGCAGATACCGATAGGACCACCCTACGGGTGAGAAGGAGGTCTGGGGGGAGCGGGAGGCGGTCGATTTGCGATGGCTCTGGGTTCTTTGGTGGTTTCTCCAATTGTTCTATTGACGCGCGCATCTGCCCATCTATCAATCGACCTATCTATCGAATTATCTTTTCAGGCCATCCATCGATGTCTCTATATATAAAAATATGTGTGTTCATACCGACCCACTTATAGATCAATCAGTCAACCTATTAATATGACAACCATTTATATATCAAACGATCAATCGATCAATCGATCAATCCATCCCTACATGGATCGATATGTGCATCCGTATGTGTATATATATATGTACCTACCGATCCGTATATATATATCTATCTATGAACCGTCAGAACTGAGATCAGGACGAATATCCGGACAATCATCGCGACAACCATCGGGACAGCAATCGGGACAACCATGGGGACAACCACCA